AAAAAAAAAAGAAAGAAAGAAAAGAATGGGAATTCCAGAACACTTAATTGTGCTCATGAGGAACCTGTACATAGACCAGGAGGCTATTGTTCAAACAGAACAAGGGGACACTGCATGGTTTAAAATCAAAAAAGGAGTGTGTCAGTGTTATATCCTTTCACCATATTTATTCAATCTATATGGTGAGCAAATAATCCGAGAAGCTGGACTATATGAAGAAGAACGTGGCATCAGGATTGGAGGAAGAGTCATTAACAACCTGTAATATGCTGATGATACAATTTTGCTCACTGATAGGGAGGATGACTTGAAGCACTTACTGATGAAGATTGAAAACTACAGTCTACAGTATGGATTACATCTCAATATAAAGAAAACGAAAATCCTCACAACTGGCCCTAAAAGCAGCATCATGATAAATGGAGAAAAGATTGAAGTTGTCAAAGACTTCACAGTGCTTGGTTCTACAATCGACGCCAGTGGAAGCAGCAGTCAGGACATGAGACGACACACAGCACTGGGCAAATCAGCTGCAAAGGACCTCTTTCAAGTGCTGAGGAGCAACGATGTCTCCTTGAGGACTAAGGTGCCCCTGACATAAGCTATGGTATTTTCAATCACCTCACATGCATGTGAGAACAACTGCAGAACAATAAATAAGGAAGACTGAAGAAGAATTAACGCTTTTGAGCTGTGGTGCTGATGAAGAATGCTGAGAGTACCATGGACTGCTAAAAGAACTAACAGGTCTGTCCTGGAGGAAGTGCAGCCAGAATGCTCCTTGGAAGCGAGACTGGCCAGACTTTGTCTTATCTACTTTGGTCATGTTGTCAGACCTGTTGTCAGAACATATTGTCATGTTTTCTCCATTCCCTGGAGAAGGATGTCACGCTTGGTAAATTGGAATGTCGATCAAAGTGGGGAAGACCCTCAACAAGATGGACTGATACAGTCACTGCAGCGATGGGCGCAAGTACAGCAAGGATCATGGAGCTGGTGCAGGACCGGTTGGTGTTCCGTTCTGCTGTGCACAGGGTCGCCATGAGTCGGAGACGACTCGATGCACCTAACAACAACAGGAGCAGGGCTGCCCAAATCCAAGGGAGCAGAGCTGTCATCCCAGGGGTCCTGGAAGGTGGAGCTGTAGCCCAGGGATGAGGGGCCTCAGAATTCAGAGGGCTGGGCAACACCCAGAGTGGAGGGCGGGGCCGTTGCCTACATGGTCTCACAGAAGAGATTATTCTCCAGCCTTGTTAATTAATGTCACTTGTTCTGCTGGGTCTGGGGCTTCTTGGTGCCCGCTAGCCCTTTGTTCCCCCCGAGTCTTCCCCCTTTGTAATGGAAATGTCTACCCTGTGCCTGTCCCACCTTTGTGCTCTGGAAGCAGACGACCTGTAGTCCAGACTTCATAGAGTCCCACGTGGAAAGGAATTTTACCCCGGGATGGAATTTGCCTGAAGTCTCACCCACATTAGAGTTAGGTGATTCAGAAGATGAGATTCTGGACTTAATTTAAGTTGATAAAAGACTTTTGGCACGATGAGATTCAACATGTTTTGCGTGTGGCCAGGACAGGAGTTGTTGTGGACCAAAGGGTAGAATGTTATCGAATGAATTATGTCCCCAAAATATATGTGCTGCACTAAGGAAAAGGAGCTCTGGTGGCACAGTGGGTAAGGCATTGGGCTGGTAACCAGAAGGTCAGTGGTTCAAACTCACTAAGCTCTCTGCAGAAGGAAGATGGGGCAATCTACTTCTATGAAGATTTACAGCCTTGGAAACCCAACGGGGCTCACTAAGAGTCAGACTCAACTTGAGGACAGTGAGTCTTGATGTGGTACGGAAGAAAAGAAGACATAGAGGGTGCACAAGAGGTACAGACACCAAAGGCCAACACTCCTGCTACACGATCCCACACCTGCGGTCCTAACAAACGCTGATCCACGGGCACATACACAGGTAGACAGGCTGAACAGGTATGTCTAGGCAAAAGAGAACAGAGCCATGGCTGTACCTAAGTCTGGCAGATGATCCTTCTACATACGTACTTGCAAGTGCTACAAGAATGTCCACATACGTAACAGAGTTGACAAGGGGCAAAGTTATGACAACTTCTTAGCTACAGCCAAACACCCTGAGGGAGCGAGCCGAGTTGTTGGGCCCATGGACTAGGGACCATGGTCACAGGGGACATCAAGCTCAATTGGCATAACATACTACAGAAATTCATTGTTCTACATCCTACTTAGTGAGTAATATCTGGGGTCTTAAAAGCTTGCAAGCGGCCTTCTAGATCCAACAACTAGTCTCTCCTCATCTGGAGCAAAGAAGAATGAAGAAAAATCAAAGACGCATGGAGACCATGGGACTAGTGGACCATGGGAACCTCAGCCTACATGACCCTGAGACCAGAGCTAGATGGTGCTCAGCTACCACTGTCAACCATTTGCAAAGGGGTCAGTGTAGGAGATCCTGGATGGAGTGGGAGAGAAACGTACAACAAGTCAAAATCATACAAAAGTTTAAGCTCATTGGTCTGATAGAGACTGGTGAAACCCCCAAGACTATGGCCCCTAGTCATCCTTCAGGCCTGGAATGAACTTACTTCCATGGCTTCCAGTCAAAAAACAAGGCAGTCATCTAGGTGAACCTTTACACAGGTGGTACACTCCTTAGAACAACCAACCATGGGACAGCAGAGGGGCAGTGTTTGCACAGGGAGACAGCTCAGAGGGCAGAAGTGCATAGGAAAGAAGGACACAGGGAAAAGGGAACCAGAGGAAGGAAATGGGAAGAGAAGTGCTACATTATGGGGCTTGCAACCAGTGTCACAAACAAAATGTGTATTAACTGCTGAATGGAAAATGAATCTGCTCTGTAAACTTGTACCCCCCAAATCATAATAAAAACAAATGTGTGCTGTAGATCCTACCCTCTGGCTGTGATCATAATCCCGTTTAGGACTGGGCAATCTTTGCTATGTTACTGAGATGGGGTTAGTGGTGGGTGTACCCTGAATCAATCTCTCCAGAGATACAAAGAAGACTAAACAACCAAGTGAGCAGCAGAAAGCTCCCAGAGATGGGGGCGGGGGAAGCACAAGCACATGAAGGTTACCCAGGAGCAGAAGCTCGGAAGAGATGGAGACCTTTCCCCAGAGCCCAGAGGGAGACGGACCTTTCCCCAGAGCCCAGAGGGACCGAGGCCTGCCCAGAGCCCAGAGGGAGACGGCCCTGCCCAGAGCCCAGAGGGAGACAGACCTTTCCCCAGAGTCCACAGAGGGAGACAGGCCTGTTCAGAGCCCAGAGGGAGACAGACCTGCCCAGAGCCCACAGAGGGACAGAGGCCTGCCCAGAGCCCACAGAGGGACAGAGGCCTACCCAGAGCCCAGAGGGAGACAGACCTGCCCAGAGCCCACAGAGGGAGAAGGGCCTGCCCTTGGACTTTCAGCCTCCTAAACTTGAGAAAATAAATGCCGCTAAGCACCACCACCCCCCCACTGTCCCCCGTGGTATTTCCAGCCCCGCAGCACTCGAGAGCTGAGAACTAAGACAGACCCTTGGAGGGCAGTTCCACTCTGACACATAGGGCTGGCAGGAGTTTGACTCAACAGCATCGGTAAGGACGCCACTAATACAGTGGGTCACTGAACCCAGTGACACCCCGCAGGATGCCAGTCACAGAGATGCCAGTGGTTAAGAGCCAGGGCCTGCCTTCCGTCTAGTCTGACTCCTTAAGACAACACACTCCCCTTCTTGGCCAGCATCACGGTCTCGCACAGAAGGCTGCATGAGCTGGGACTTCCTTAGAGGCCCGAGGAAGCGTGTGCAGGCCCCCGGGCCGGGTGGGGAGGCTGTCCCCTTCCATACCAGTGGTGTGGGCTGCCCCTGCTTGCCAACGCCAACCTGTGTGGGCTGCGTGAGGCTGATGACAGGGGGCTGGAGGGCACTGGTCACGGTGGCCGCCGTCTTCCCGGCCGTGCGCTGGACAGCACTGCTCAGCACCACCGCTGTGAGGGCCGTGGTGGCCTGTGCGGGCGGCGGAGGCTGCTGCTGGCTCTGCTGGATGAAGGCTGCCGAGTCGGGGGTCAGCTGTCTCAAGGCGGGTAAGCTCCTCTGGGTGGGAAGACAGACAGGGTGGGACGGCAGCTCTAGCATCATGCCCCTTTTTTCTCAATTTGGACACATCAGACTTTCAGAAAACAGTCTCACGCTGAAGAAAGGGACTTCAGACGCAGATGGCAACGAGTCGGGGCGTCCGGGACCAGCACCCGCCGTGCCCCGGCCCCTCCACTGTCACCCAGAGCAGGCAGGGCTAGTCTTGGGAAGAACTGCCAGCAACAAACCCCCAGTGTTTTTGACATGCTCTTTAAAGGTGTTGGAGTCCCCGGGTCAGGCTCCCAGCTGAGACACTGGCAGTGGTTCGAGCCCCCCGACCGGGAAGGAAGACCTGGTGACCTACTGCTGAATAAGCAGCCACGTTGTCACGCCACGGAACGCGGCTCTGCTCTGACCCACACAGGTGCCATGCGTTGGCAGTGACTGGAAGACAGCTGGCTGAGGATGAATCGCATCTCAGTAAAGCTGCTCCAGGGAGGGGCCCACACATCCCACAGCGGGGCCTCTCCATACCCTGACCCTGGTCAGTGCTGGTCCCCGGGGGTAGCACAGCCCTTCCACGTTCACACCGAAGTGGCAGCAACCCGGCGGACTGAGGCGAAATGTGAAAGCACGCACTTCCTGGCCACTGCACTTACACAGAATGGAAGGCCAGCACAGTAGGGGGCTAGAGAACTCACGGAGAAGGCTCCGTGGGAAACCTAACATTCTGCCTCGGGGGTGCTCTGTGCAGCCTCTGCGTAAGCCCCCGGCCACAGTGGCAAAGCCCAAGTCCTCCCCAGAGCCGGCAGCAGCCGCTCACAGACACAAAGGACACGCGTGTGGGGGGCTTGACTCTAGAAAATTACCTTTAGGAAAGGCACAAGGTACGGTTGAGGTGAAGAATTGAGTTCTCGGTATAACCTACTAGTAAAATCCTCAGCTTCGATTTTTCCGTCCTGAAAAACAAAACGCACGGTGACCTCCTAGACGAGACAAACGGGACACGCGCATCTCCCTGCCAAGCACAAGCCTGGCCACAAGCCTCGCAGTGAGTGTGCTCCGGCGGTGGGCATCCTCTCGGCCTGCGCCCCACACTGCCACAGAAGCCGAATGCCGGGTCCACGGCCCTTCCCAGGCACAGCTGAGAGGTGGCAGAGAATGTGTCTCTAACTGGGCTCGTCTACCTCCTGTCTCTTCTGTGAGTGTCTTATTCACCTCCGTTCTCGCAACAGCTGACGCTCCCCTCCACCAGAGGTTCCGTGTGAGGAGGGAGAGCCGGCTGGGAGAAGCCTCTTGACCACGGTCCGTGCTGTGAGCACAGGAAGGGACACGCCCAGCAAGGAGACCTGGACGCCACCACAGGAGGGGACGACCAAGCGGAGCCGGGTCAGACACAGGCGCCGCCCCAGCCCAGCGAGAGCCCACACTGCTCCGAGCAAGAAGGCACCGTTCTGTGCTGGAAACGGAGGCTTGGGCGGGGGCACAGCAAGCCTAGGGTGCTGGGCGTCTGGAGCGTCGTCACACAGTGTGGTGGCAGGCAAGAAGGGGACGGGCTGCCAGACCATGGGCGTGTCACTGTCAAAGCCTGGAGACTGGCACACGGGGCTCAACGCACCGCCCGTTCTACTCTGTATGTGTTAAAATTCTCCATTTTAAAAACAGGTGAAATGAGCAAGGAGGGAGAAAAAGAGAACACCTTTGAAAACAGCCTGTCAAGCATGTTAGGTGGGCTCAAGAGGTGTCCATGTTGCCAGCGTGAAGCTCCCAACTGGCAAACCCCTGCCACTGGAAAGCAGGTTCCATAAAGCAGCCGCTGAGACGACGGGCAAGCACACAGGAGTCAGAACGCTCTGGGCGGGATGCCCACACTCAGGGCCGAGGTCCATGGCCGGGCCACCAGAACCTCCAGTGGACATCGCCTTCTCCCCAGCACATGTCACATGCAAACGCCACAGGGCGGGGATGAGCAGCGTCCATGCTCCTTACCAGCAAGTTTTGCACAAGCTCTTTGACGTTTGCTGCCGTCTCTGTGGACTGTTTCCCAGATGAAGCTAGCTTGATCAGCGTTGACAGGAAGTTCTTACACTTCTTCACGTTCTCCATGGTTTCCTGGCATGAGGCGAAGAGAGACACGTGTGAGTCCTGGAAGGCAGGTATGCACAATCCCTCTGAGCCGACTGAGATGCATGTGCGTAAGACAGGCGTGTCTCCTCTGCACGGCCTTCAAGAACACACAGAGGCTCCTGGCTGATGGCGTCCACGTGGGGTCCGCCTCCCCCAGAGGACAGCCTGACCCACACACCAAGGGCCCTGCCCGAGGTCCCACCCGAGCCCCACATCCCCTTTCAGGGATGCAGCTCACAGACGTGGACCCACAGAGACGTGCATCCTAAGGCGATTACCACCAGCAAACCCTGCCCCGGCTACAGACACCAAAGGAGGTTTCTCGAGTCCCTCGGACTGATGGGGGTGCCCAGCCGAGAAAGGTGGACAAAGCGAGTGATAAACATCAAGTACAGCTCTGCTTTGTTTACAACACTCCACACACGCAGAGAACCACGGCACGCACAGACACGAAGGGTGAGGTTGCAGGTCCGCACGCTTCAAGTTCCATACAAAACATGTGTTGCTTTCCAACCCGTGACTGCTCAAATTCTTATGACTCAGACATTGCAGGGCATCAAGGCCTCATGTCCATGGCGGAGGCTGCTTGAGGAAGACCACAGGGTGCAGATCAAGCCCGGTCCTGGGGCTGCCTGGCCTCCTTCTAAGGCGCAAGCGCAGAACCCCTCCCACAACAGCAGCTGGGCAGATGTTACCTCAGGCCCAGATCACATACACAGTCACCCAACTCACGTTCCTAGCAAGCACTGGACTGGGACCCCAGGGTCAGCCCAGGTCCTGGGAGAAGGAGATGGCAGGTGGGAGGAGGAGGAGGGAAGAGGAGGAAGAGGGAGGAGGGAGGAGGAGGAGGGAAGGAAGAAGGGGGAGGAGGAGGGAGGAGGGGAGGGGGGCGGGGAGGAGGGCACCGCGCTGTGGCTGCAGGAGGCGGCGGCTCTCACCGTAGCAGCTGTAGAGGTGGTGGCTGCTCCCGGGACGGTCCGCTGTGGCGTCCCCGTCTGCACAGTCGTTGCCGTCCCTAGTGATGCTGCCTGGGCAGTACCACCCAGGACAAGCTGAGGCTGGAAGAATCCAAAACACCAGGTCAATGTACTTCCTGCCACAGACGGAGGATAGGGAACAGCTGTCCTAGAGCAGGTGGGAAGTCACACAGGGAGGGCCAGCAACTGCTGTCTGCAGAGCAAGCTTGGCGCCAGGAGGCAGGGCCCAGCAAGTTCCACCCACTGGGAGCACACACCCGCACAGACACCTGAGGCCGGCGGCGCCCTCCCTCCCGCCGGGCGCGCCCATGAATGTGGAAGCGCAAGCCCGCAGGATGCCCACAGTCTAAAGCCAGTGGAATGATGCCCAGGGGAACGGAGCCACCGCTCAGAGGCAGCCACAGCTCATGTAAGGAGGAGCACAATGACACGACATCACCAACCCAGATCCCCACCTTCTAGAACTTTGAACCAACAACAAAGCAGAAATGACGGCCCCCACCCCAGAAAGCCGGGGGTCAGGTCATGTGAACAGGCCATGGGCCAGACTGCACAGCCACATGGCCCTGCCTGAGGTGCCCACTGACCCACAGCACAGGGAGCTCCCTGGGGTGCCAATGGCTAGTTCTAAGGCCCCACAGCCCACATGCCAGCCTTCCCTTGCTCACCATGAGCCCTACAGAAAAAGGCGGTTACACACTGGCTCAGGAAATTGTGGGTCTGGGGGAACAGCCTGACCGACCCTCGCCTCTCCTCTGGATCAGAAGGGGTCACCTAGAGAAGCCACTCTGCTCAACAAATGGAGTCAAGCACTGTGCCTTCCACCCGACACGGATCATCAGGGAGGGGCTAAGACCGCGGGTAGGAAGCTCGCGCTCCTCAGGTGAAGTCAAGCTTCCATGTTTCCCTCTGCCATCACGTGTGCTCCAGGGCCCGGCTCCTATTCCAGGCCTGGGTGCAAGTCACCCGAGGTATATCCCAGGTGCTGGCACGTGCAGGCAAGGGGAGCCGGCTGGCTTTTTCTCAGAGAACCTTTGTCTTCTGCTTGTGACTGTAAGCATGCAATTAGAAGACTTCAAACCTCCAAACAAAGAACACGTGAGAGGCTCGCAAGACCCCGAGTATGGCCAGGGCCATTGGTCCAAACTCGGCAGGTCTGTGCCCTGAGAACCTTCCACAGCCACCTGCTCCAAGAACTGGCCTCCCGCCGCCTTTGCTGCGGCCTGGCCTCAATGCACCTCCGTCATACCGGGGATGACGGTGCTCCTGCCTGACCCGCAAGCCGCCCCCCACGCCCTCCTCGACCCAGGACCTTACAAAGCAGTTGCCTCCACAGGTGCCTTAAGGAGAACACAGGAGGCACCCAATGACACGGAGAGCTGCCCCTACCAGCTGCCTCAGTTCACTCATCAGGAATGGGAACAGTCCTAGCTGGCAGGCCCACCGTGAACTGCAGGCGAAGTGGCCCTGAACACACGGGATGTTTCCCGGACAATGAGCGTGCTGGCCACCTGCACAACGGTGCACGCTCCGAGCACGGCAGAAGCCAGCACCCACCCTCTGCTCCAGAGGCCCCAGCCCAACCAACCCTCGCCTCTCCTCTGGATCACAAGGGGCCACCTAGAGACACAGAAGCCCCTCCGCACAGCCTCCCAGCCCAGGCCCGAGCAGCCAGGAGCGTGGGCACACACTGGGCAGGGGCCCAGCACCCGGTCCGGGTGCGCCTTCCCCTGCTTCCGCATCACTGCAAAAGCAAGCTCCCAGCTGATGTGACAAAGTCCAGAAGGGAGGCCTGACTCCTGGCTACAGGACACATGTCCAGGTGCAGAGCCGCCTGCTGGCTGGCACACACACTCCACGAGGCTCACAGCCAAGACCAGGGCCAGTTCCGGGACCCCTCACCTCACCTGTGAAACAGCCTACGAGTAAAGCAAGAACCAAGGCAGGCAACCCTTGTAGCTGTGGGAGAATTGCCGCCCCACCTACAGGGAATGGGACAATGGCAGCTGGGATAGTGTGTGCTTGAGGAGCCACCCTTCTCACGCTGTGCTGCTGGCCAGCCCGGCACACGCCCCACCGGCACCTGGTCCTTTCTGAACCAGGCAGCAACACTGTGGAGCTTCTTACTCCGGTCCTGGCACGGGGGGCATCGTTGGAGTGAGGCTGGCCAAACTGTTGGTCTTGTTGAAAGACCCTGCCCTCTTCGGGAAGAGCTCTCGTTCCACAGTTCAACTCAGAACCTACTGAAGAAGTTCCCGGGGTGGACAGCGTGTGCACTTGGCCAACCCACAGACTGGGGTTCAAGCAGCACCGCAGAAGGCAGGTCTGTGGTCTGCTTCCACGGATGTCACAGCACACAGGGTCACTGGGCTGGCGACAGTGGGCATGAGGGTAAGAGCCCTAAGGCCTGCTCTCTGCATCAGGAAGTCCATGCTCAGCCTGCACCCGAGCCAGCAAGCTCCCCAGCCCACCATGTGCCCGCCCCGCCAGCCTCACCTGCACACCGGCCGAGCGCTGTAGCGTGGTGCTGGGCTGGGCTGTTGTCTGGGCCTGAGACACTTGCTTAATTATGGTAGTTGGGGTCACCTGCCGGGCGATGATGGGCGTCCCAGGGGCCTGAAACACAAGAATCGGAAAGTGAGGCACAGGTAAGGCAAGTCCCCCCGACCCCATGCACACAGAAGCCACGCCTCCAACAAGTAACGACCACGGTCAGGTATGCCTATTTGCACAGTTCGTGAAGCCCGTGGTCCTAGTGTTTTCTGGCCAAGGGACACACGACTCTTCATCTGTTCTCCAGAGGCCCCTCGGACAAACCAACAGACGCCATCTTCAGAGAGCACGTGCGTCTGGAAGCCAGTCCTGCGAGGACCCCTGGGGTCTTCCTAACGAGAACCACAGTGACAACAGTGAAGGCGCCTGGTCACGAGCAGCAGGAGGACCAGAGGAGACGGTCCAGGTGGCTGCCGGCCCCTCAACCCTGAGAGAAGACCACCTCGGCGTCTGCAGGACCAAGCGTTGGCGTGAGGCCACCCAGTGCTATGGCCACCCTTCTCCTAGCAGACAGTGAGCTCTACACGGGGAAGGCACTGCTCACCACTGCAGATCCCAGAGCAGAGGCAGGGGCCCAGCACACACGCCTGTCTGTCTACACTGCTGTGAGCTGGAGGGAAACGCTCCCAGGATGCCGTCTCCACTTCAGGCACTGAGGAGCCAGCACCCGGAGCAGCAGCATCGAGACACACGTCAGGGGAGGACCGGCAAGGTGCCGGCAGAGCCCTCCTCACAAGGACCGTGTCCGACCAGAAACGCAGAGCACGCGGACAAGGGGAAGGTCGCCCTGGGCTCTGGGTCTGCGACTCTGCAGGCCTATGGACCATGTGAGGTCTGGAGCGGCCTGACGGCAGCAGAGCCAGCCGGCTCAGCGCCCACTCTGCTCCTAACACCGCGAGGCTCACTCCTGGGAATAATCTCCCGCAGGTGAGGGCGTGAGGCACAGCGTGGGGCAGACTCTGCCTGCGGTCAGCCTAGTGCCAGCCACCGTGGTGTTCGCAGGGCCCCACACGGCTGGCCTCCACGCTTCTGAACGGCACTCTGCCCTCGTGTGGCCGGTGCGGACCTCAGCCCTCCAGCGTGGTGGGCGGGCACTCACCTGTACGGTGGAGATCTGGACGGGAGGGGCACTTGTGGGGGTTGCAGGGCGGGGAGCCATGGTGGTCTGAGGCTGGGCCTGGGCGTGGGCCTGGGCCTGCATCTGGGCCAGTGCCTGCTGAGGGATCATTAACAGCTGCCCGTTTTCACTGCGCACGAGGACCATACCTAGGACACAGGAGACCTGGTCAGGAGCACGGCCCTGCCCCGCGGGCATGCTGGGGACACGAGTCCCACCAAGGGGCTGCCGGGGACTCTAGGAAGAAAGGAGGAGAGGTTGTGAAACAGACGGACCTGCTGGTGCTGACAGGCTAGAGGCAGGACAACCATAAAGGAACTGACAGAATGTGGACTGAAGCCGCCAGGCTGGCGTGTGCCTCACAAACAGGCAGCAAAGTGAGTATAACACGCCCCACACTGCCACCACACTGCTCGCACACTGCCCCCCACATTGTCCCCACACACTGTCCCTGCCAGAGTCCCCCACATACTGTCCCCCCCATACTGCCCCCATACACACACTGTCCCCCCACACACACCGTCCCGCAAGAGCCCGCGAGACCGCTCCACGGCACAGGGACCCCGACGTAGGGACGCCGAGCTTGCGCCGGCCCGGAGGCAGCAGGTATCCGCACTGGCACATCCGATGCTCAGAGCTGCCTCGCCTTGGACCCAGACTGCTGCCTACCCCATGCCCTGCACAGCCAGCCAAAGCCAGGCCAAGTTCACCAACAGGAGACGGAGGGGCCTGGGGCCAGAGCACTGCTCCCATCTCCTCATCCCGTCCCCCAGGCCACCCACTGGGCGTCACCAAAGCATGCAGGCGTCAGTGGCTGCCTCCTCCTGCCAGCACACAGCGTCTCTACCACCCTCTGCCATCTCTCCTGCCCACGCGCCTACCTGCCCAAACCCAGCCCTGGGAGGTCCCCACAGGAGCACTTCTCAGGGCAGGCAGTGTGTGAGGGCACGGCCGACTCCGAGGCCAGGCTGGGACCCCACTGCACAGGAAGTACAAGCGGGAGCCACCCCTCACGCCTCCTGCACTACAACCCTGGGTGCCCTTTCAGCTCTGTCAAAGGGCCAGCGGTCTGACGCTGACGTTTAACTTCCCGCCACAGGAGTGGAGATGAAGCTGCAGGAGAGCGAGTCGCAGCCTCCTCTCCAGGGAAGCCACACAGTTGCCCTGCACCGTCACACCCTGAGGACAGAGGATGGCAGGGTTGAAGCACCAGTGGCGCTTCCTCCCTTTTAGGGTGAACGGAGAGCCGTGCTCTGCAGAAAGGGACAGGGACCCAGGGTACTGCCCAGGCACCATCACACGGGAACACGGGGCTCCACCCCTTGGGCTAAGGCCATGCTGGAGAGCCCTTACAAGGCCTAGAAGGGTCTCCGACGCTGTCCAGCTCTGCACCTGATGTCCAGGAAGAAGCGAAGCCCTGCCTGGCCTCCTGTCCGGCTTCTCCGTCCACAGGAACCGCACCTGTGCCCACGAGGGGAGCTGCCCCCCGGAACACCCGCCCAGAACACAGCACATGGAAACCAAACACAAACGCAGAGCCCGGCTGCTACGAGACATGCACTGTGCAGTGTGCACGGCCCAGGGCTCTATCCTCTGCTGCATCCTCCAGACCCAGTCCCGCTCTCTAAACGCCCAGCTGGCAGTGCACAAGGGCTCACTGCGGCTCTGAGGCCAGCCACCCAAAGGCAGACACTGTGCTGGGACCCAGGACGAGGACAGACAGAATGCCCCCCGACTCTCTTCTGTCATGAGGCCTGCTCCTCTTCGCAGAGGCACCCGTCCTCTGAAGAACTGCACAAAGCCACTCTCAGTACCGGTGGAGAGCACCCCAACGACCAGGAAAGGACAGAAGGGGGCGCCGCTACCCAGCTTCAGTCACTGGACACGCGGCAGCGCTCGCAAAGCAGCACCGTGGTTAACGGTCTAAGAAAATGCAAGTGTCACTGTGGACGCGCCAGGGTGCGTGGAAACAGCCACCGCTCCCACAGGTGGTTTTCTGCTAATGACATGCCATGAGGGCAAAGATGGGGAAGGAACCAGAAGTCCCCTCAGGAAAAGACCTGTGTTGCGAAGCAGGTGACAACCTCTCAGGTATGACAAGTCTCCAACCAGGTAACAGGCGGGCAGCAAGGGAAGGACACAGGCACCTGGACATAACGGGCACGGAAGCTCATGTCCAACAAGAGCGGCACGGACTGGGCCTGGAGGCTCCCCCTGGGCAGCGTCCCTGGTTACAATCACCAACTGACGGCAGTCAGCCTCGCTCAGCAGGCCAGCGCACCAGCCCGCGCACCGGCCCCAGGACGGCCGACACACTCAGAACCGCACAGGCCAACACGCCAGCAAGAGTCTCACCCTCTGGTCTTGTAATCTTGCTCAGAACCCCGCCTCGCAAACACACGGATGACCGCAGTGGTCTCCTTACGCAAAGGCGGAACAAGCCTGCCTCCCGAGGGAACTAACGCCAACTCCAACTTACGGGAAATGGGCGTGAGATCTCCAAGGCAGCGCGGCCTCCCAGCCCACCTGGCTCTGGGGCAGCAGCCGCCACTGCACTCAGCACGGACGAGGGACAGTCACGACGGCCCACTGCCTGGGGACACACACCCACCTCACAGCAGAGACCAAGCCTCTGTCCAAAGGGGACGGCTGCCTGGAATGCCAGTCCTCTGGTCCCTCACCCAGCACACCCCCATGTCAAACAAGCACCGCACACCAACACCACCACACACCACTACACACCTCACACAACACACACACCAACACCTCATGCCAACCCCACCACACACCTCGCCCACCACACACCTCACCCACCACACACCTCACGCCAACACACACCTCACGCCAACATACACCAACACAACTCACACAACACACATCTCATGCCAACACCACCTCACACCAACACACACGTCATGCCAACACCACCACATACCAACACACAATACACACCAACACCTCACGCCAACACCAACACACAATTCACCTAACACACACCTCACACCAACACACAACTCACACAACACAAACCTCACACAACACACACCTCATGTCAACACCTCAAACACCAACACACAACTCACCCAACACACACCTCACACAACACACCAACACCTCATGCCAACACTTCACACCACCACCACAGACCAAGACACACCTCACACAACACACACCTCATGCCAACACCACCTCACGCCCACACACGCCTTACACCAACACCCTCTCACACCAACACCACCATAGACCAACACATACCTCACACAACACACACCTCATTCATGCCAACACACACCTCACACAACACACACCTCACGCCAACACCACCTCACGCCCACACACACCTTACACCAACACCCTCACCTCACCTCCACACACACTTCAGAATCACACAGAATTATCTTACCAACACACACCTCACATCGATACCACCTCACACCACTACAAAGGAAGGGCTCCCAGTCCACCCACGTCGCAGCACCAGCACGTGCCCTGGGCGCTCTGAGTCCCCACAGGCCATGAGGGGCTCTGACGGCTCCAGCAGCCCCCACGGGGCAGCCCCAGTCACTGCACCAGCAGCAAAGCCACCGCAGGCTCCTGAGCCTGACGAGGACACTGGCCACGCTGACTGACGCCATGGTCTAAATGTTCCTTCTACCCTTCCGGCTCCCTGTGAACTTCTGCCTTTCAAATCATGGGGCGGGGGGGGATACCTAAGACTGCAGAGCTGTGAAAACAGGAACACTTGAGGGGGCTGAGATGTGTGCAGAGATGTGGCTGTTTGTCCTTCTGTCGCCATACTCCCTCATAAAACGCCAGCCGGAGGGAACAAGACCTATGGACAGGACAGTGGGCCCTCGCCACGCAATTCCGACCGGGCCACAGGAACCCGCTCCCCAGCTGCCTGGCGCTGACTCCTGGGCCTGCGAGTCTCCAGGCAGATGCTTCAGCTTAGCTTGCAGGCATTCTGGAGACATGCCTACCGACTCTCGGCCTGCAAACCTGGGCTTCTTGTTCTGGACAATTCTGACCACACAACGGGATGGGTGAACCAAGAAATAGCCCCATAAACATGATAAAACCGAAAAGACAGCAAGAGTGACTGACCCTGTGCTCGGTGTCCCTTCTCACTCAGGACGTAAAACAAGGAGAGGCGTAAGGGTGACATCAGCAAGACGGTGAGGCAGGTATCTCCACGCCCCACCCTACTCCTGAAACACTGGAAAACAAGCAGAAACCATCAAGACTCTGGAAAGCAACCCAGGGGAGGTGACTAAAGGCCCCTAGAACGCAGAGAACTCTCCCAACTAAGACAGTCAACATCCCAACACACAGACAGCACCACTTCACCAAAGACTACCTGGATGGCAGACAGACACACGGAGAGGTCCTCAATTACACTGTCACGCGCCAATACCACCAGCTGCTATTGAGTGGTCTGACCCACAGAGACCCATGCCATCAGGGAAACACAAACAAAGCCACCGCGTAATAAAATGACACACGCACCAAAATGGAAGACTGGCCATACCAACTGTCAGCCAGGGTGTGAAGGAGTCGAACTCCAGACACTGCTGGTGGGAACAGAAAATGGTACGACCGCTTAGGAAAACAGACCTATATTCTTAAGAAATTAAACGCACCACTACCATAGATCAAGGAGCCCTAGTGGCACAGCAGTTAAGCACACAGCTGCTAACCAAAAGGTGCGGAGTCTGAACCCACCAGCCACTCCACAGGAGAAAGATGAAGCAGTCTGCTTCCGTGAAGACTGGCAGCCTGGGAGACACTCTGGGTGCAGTTCCACTCGGTCCCCTAGGGGCGCTGTGAGTTGGAATAGACTCCATGGCAAGGACTGGTTTGGGCTTTGCTTCCCTGAAGGCTGACAGCCTTGGAGACCCCCTGGGGCAGTTCCACTCTGTCCTTTAGGGGCGCTGTGGGTCAGAATGGACTCCACGGCAGTGGGTGGGGTTTGGGTCTGCTGTGTATATTCTCAACAAAAAAAAAAACTGGGGAAAACATATTGCATGTGAAAAATTCCCAAAAATAAAGCTGAGGTAGCCGCTCTGCTTAAATCAGGCCCAAGGGGCCAGAAGGAGGTTGGTCAGGCCAGAGGGGCCGGAGGGAGGAATGGCCCCAAGGTACCCGGCTGGGTGATGAGGATGGAGTGAGGTCAGCCTGAGGGACAGGCGTGAGGAGCAGCCTCTTGCACCCAGGACATGAGCTGCAGGTGCACAAGCCGTGTTCCAGGTGGCCTCCGTTTTCTTCCAGGAAACCAGCTGGTTGGAAGCCAGTGGGACAGGTGTGCCCCCCAGGCAGGGTCACCCTCTCTGGAGTGCTGGGACAGAGAAGGCTCTGGGCCAACCCGATGCCCCAGCACCCGCTGACCCATCCCGGCCACCATGTGCTCCCTGTGGAGGTGGGGGCAGACCAAGAGCCCCCAGTCTTCACAAAATGTACCTCAGGATTCCTGCTCTGCACCCCTACCCCCCAACTTTGATTCAGGTCCCACCTTCTACCTAATTGATCAGCAAAACAGTGCACTACCTCACCGTGTCCCCATCATTCAGCCAAATTTCACAAATACGTAGTTAGCGTCTCAGAGCAAAGCTAACCCAACCCCAGAG